CACTAGTCCATATCGCGTTTTGATTCAAGTGTACTGACCTACTTTTGATTTATTCGTCCAAAATGTGGCATATTCCGTCCGCGTTAGGCTATAGGAATTCCGTTTCTACGAACCAGTCTGTGTTTTCCGCATCGCGGAAATTATAGGGCCGTATGTCTCAGAGTAGTCGGTGCAATTTGGGAAAGAAATCAATTAAATCTGTATGTGGATGTGTGTAAATATTAAAATGTAATCCCCTTTGTAATCGTTAACATTTTCATAAGTAACTGTAATTCAATTACACATTTTTTCTTAATAACTGTAACTGATTACAGTTACAGTTATTTTGTAATTAAATTACGTAACGCTGTTACATGTAACTAGTTACTCCCCAACACTGGTTAGATGTCAGAGTATTTCATTCGGATGATTTCTCAAACAAAAGGAAGGTTAGGAAAAGGGACACTAGACCAACATAATTTAGTTTCTCAATATATCTGCTCCTCTCAGGTTCACGTCGGGTGGTCAAATAATCATGGTTAAAAATAATGAATGGTTCCTGTCTCCGATTACGTTTCCCTCCAGTGGGCGCAATTCTCAGAGTAATAGACACGTTGCGCTCTACTTTTGTGACCCTCGTTTTTTTGGGTCGACAGCTTATAAAAACATAGTTAATAAATCTATAAATTATATTAAAGCAATAAGCCCCGTGAAGCCGTGGTTTACAGTGAATTTATAACAGCTAAGGGGCATTGTTAGGCATGACACGAAGCGGAGCTTATTGCTTTTATAAAACGGTTATTCCATATACGTAGTAAGGTTTCACAAAATAAAACAGAGCAAATAAAGTGTAATGATATTAATAAAAACAGTATTCTTCCACCAAACAATGTAGTTCCTCAGAAACAGTTGTGGTTGCAACAAAGTGGTCGACCGATATATCGGCCGATATTTGGCATTTTTTTAAATATCGGCATCGATACCGGTAATGAGTGTTACCTTGGCTTTATTTGAAAAATATGACTCCCAATGCACACAAACTTCCCAGAATACTGAGTGCCCTGTTGTTTACAGTGTTTACTTTCTTATTTAATAAAAATATAATACAAATTTATTTATTTGTGAAAAATACTTTGTCATCTAAAGTATAAGTATGTTTATTTAACAAATTTATTTTTGAATCCATTTTCAAATTATTTTTTAATTTTTTAAATATAAATTAAAATAAATAAAATTATATCTGCTTTATATCGGCCACCCTGCTTTCTAAGATATCGGCATCGGCTGTCACAAAACCCATATCGGTCGACCACTAGTCTAAAATATGAATATATATATATGAATCAGTTGTGGTTGCAACAAAGTGGTTGCCGAGCAACACACAAACGTAAACAAAGGTGTTTGTTACTTTGTAGAGTCATTTACAACAGCTTCGAACGCGGCTCAGCCAATCAGAATCAAGGACCGGAACTTTCCGTTTTATAAATAAATATAAATATATATATATTTAGTATTTTTTATGCCTATCAAACAGCTGAAAGCATGTAAAGCTTTCTGAATGGCAAGCGCTTGCTGTCTACTGTAATATCATTTAGAATAATAAAGGACTAGATTTGATTTAATTAATAATGAATGTTTTTTTTATGCTAATTGAAGCGTTTTTGCCGCAGGTTCCTCTTCGTACGCTCAGTTGCACTTTGGAGTCAGAAGATGAAGGTCTTCATTTACATTGAAACTGGCTTGAAGAAACGCAGTTGCCTTCTCCTGTGCTGAGCTGCTGTGCTTTTGTGTTCTGATGATAAACCTGTACAATTCTGTGGGACCAAAACCACGTTTGTTTGTTTTGTGTTTGTGTGAATCATCTTATAATCGAGCTTCCGTTGAAACCGCTTCAACGTCTGTGCATTAGTTCTACCTTATTTGTTGTTAAAGCAAAGCAATCATGTTACTGTGTATTTGTGGAATGCTAATTTAAGTTGATTAATTTAAGAGGTGTTGAGAGAGTTTGCTGCTGCGCTGAGCCACGCTGTACTCGTCACAAACACTAATTAAACGAAGGCCAAACGAGCCTCGTTAAGGCTTTCCGAGCTTATCAGATACTCTACACTGTGTTTTATTCGCTCGCAGGACATTTGTAGAAGACATATTTTTGTAAAGGTAGGAGCTTCGGATTTTATGGATATTTTGTCAAAACTGAAATAAAAATTAATATAATATTTGAAAACTGCCTTTGACTCTGTTCTCCTTTTCTAATTTTTATTTATTTTTTATTTTTTTTAGTATGATACTGTATGTAATAATCATTTATGCATATGGACTAAAAATTGTCTTTTCAAAACCTTGTTCTGTAAACAATGTATATTTTCAGTCAATTTTTCATTGGAAACCGCTTAATTTATTGCGTTCATCAACAATTCAAAAATGTTTATCAGTCATTATTTAAAAAAGATAACATTGACAGAAAACTAATACAAACATTTATAATTATATCAATAATCACTGATTTTCTGAGCTTTGTTTTATGAGCTAAATATGTATTTCATGATGACCCACTTTTATTTATATTATATGACAGTTGTTAAGGCATTTGGTAGTAAATATGTTGAATATTATTATTATTATTGATATGTCATGTATGCATGTTTATACATATATTAATTTTGTATATATAATGTATTACAAACACAGCCAGGGGTACAACCAAATAAACAAAGACACACAATGAAAATAAAATGAAGAAATAAAATTAAAAACATTCAAATGTTTACAAATAATGACTTTATAATTAAAATCATTCTCTATTTCTTAACTCGGGAACAACTACTTGTCCAGTCTACGTCATCATGGCCTAAGTATTATTCATGAGCTAAAAGCTTCGCTTTCTGTCATTTTATTATTAAGTTGGCTTGAGAAAGAAATTATTCTTTTTCTGAGACAAAAATTTCCCTAGCAACCGCATAGCAACACCCTAGCAACCACACTGAGTACCTTAGCAACCGCATAGCAACACCTTAGCATCCACCCCAGGTACCCTAGCAACCGCATAGCAACACTCTAGCAACCACCCCGAGTACTTTAGCAACCGCATAGCAACACCTTAGCAACCACTCCAGGTACCTTAGCAACCGCAAAGCAACACCATAGCAACCTCCCCGGTTACCCTAGCAACCGCATAGCAACACCATAGCAACCTCCCCGGGTACCCTAGCAACCGCATAGCAACACCCTAGCAACTGCCCTATCTATCTATCTATCTATCTATCTCTGACAGACTGTATTGCCTTCAAAACATTCAAACTTTAAGCTTTTAAAACTACTTTAAACTTCAAACTATTTCCGACTGAAAACCATCAAACTTAAAACTTTTTAAACTTCTTAAACTTTTAATCTTTTCAATCTTTTTCAAACTTTCTGGTCCGGCTTTCTCAAGCCAACTTAAAGTTTGTCTTGACGAACTTTTTTATCTAGTTTTTATTTATTGTATTTTTATTATTAATTATGCATTTTTGTTTATTCTGTTGTACCCCAGACTGCATTTGCTGTTCTTTAAAATCCATGTAAAAAGTAAAGAAAGAAAACACCTTAAAGATTCGTTAATGTGAGGACATCGACCGCTCCGGATACGTTAAGTTACTCGAGCACGTGACAGCAGGATGGATTCTGATTGGCTGTCAATGTTTGTATCGTTCATCAGCTGAAAAAAATAAAATCGCGCTGTAAGTGATTCCAATGATATCGTTTCTCTGTGCCTTCATCGTTATAGCTGTGGTGTGTGGACTCTGCTATTCTTTAATATTGAGAACGATTTTTAGAACTATATCTTTAATAAACAGACGATATCGTTCGCGGGTGTGGACGCTAATATCGTTATCTTTATAGACCGATTCAGAGTAGACGTCACAGTTACGTCACTTGCAGCTGCGCGCGCATCCTGAATGTTTACAAACCTATTATTGGTCTATAGTTATCTATCGAACGGGGCTTTACTCGTGAGTATCTTCACAAACTTTTATCATCTTTTGTGATTTTGATTGATTTTTGTCGCTGCGTATCTGTATCGTCCCTCTAAACTGCGACCAAGCCTATATATTTGAATATGAAGTCGTTGAGAGTTTTCAGCGTTTAAATATTAGAAAAAATATTTTTTGTTTTCAGTCAAATGTAAACAGAGATTTTACCTGACAACCTCCATCCGTTCCTATATGTTTCTGCTTGATTTTTTTAGTATCCTGTGGAAATATCGTTTAAAACCTCGCTGTAATGACATTTTGATGCAGTGTGAATGAAAAGTCATAAAACGGTTTTCAACGGGTAGGACGCTGTGTGGTGATTTTATGTAATATTTTACATTTTAGAGTATTTGAAACAAACATAATGTTTATATCTCGTAATCCGAGCCATTAATTGTTCTGTAATATTTACTTAACGTGTATTTAAAACCTACATAACGTTTATATCAAGTAATCTGAACCCAGTTAGTTATTTTCAGTGTTCTCTTTTATACCGTCCCCCGTATTTCATCAGTAATGTGTTTTGTTGTGGTTTTGAATTAAATCTTTAAGGCACGTTTGCAGTTTTTGTCAATACACAGAATTCTCATTTTTGTTAAAGAGTTTAATCTACCAATTAAAGCAGGTGTCGGCAACGATGAACGTGCGCTTCAAGTCTGTGAAAAGCTTCGTTTTTCGTTGTTTATTTTCTCAATCTTGTGTCTAAACTCGGGTACAAAGAGTTCATTGTTAAGTAGTGATTATTTTATGATCAACAGAGACTATTCAGCGTCTTAAACCAGTTTTGTTATCCTCTAACTCTGTTCTCGTGTTTGATTGGACGATGGGAACGCAGCGTACCGGAAGTAGAAGGATCCGCGCGTCTTGAGGAGGTTTTCAGTCTCTTATGAGTGAGAATCCCAGAGTTTCTGTTGGTCTTCTCGGAGTTTGTGTGAGTGTGTGAGTGTGTGGTTCGTTCTGGAGTTCGTGTCTGTAGTTTGAAGTGTTTCTAATGTGATCAGATCGTGTCACCGTCACTGAGATGTGTAGCGCGCGGAATCACTCCATCAGCGCTGAACGTGTATCGCTGTTGCTTCTCGGCCTTTTGGCTAAGATCAAGTGTAGTATTTGTTCTTATCAGTTTAATATCTGATACGTTCTCTATTAGTGGACTATGTATTAAATTGATTTTTGGAGTTGGGAAATGGGATAGGAGCTTGCTTCGTCCACTTCTCGCATCGATCTGATATTGCAGTGTTTCCAGGAACGGTGCATCCACTTTTGGGGAAATAACAGTTGTGAAAAATAGATGATAATATTTCGGACGTGTCGTACTGTGTTAGCACTGTTATGTGAGTATAGCTCAGTGTGAGTTGTTCCGGTAATAGCCAATGTATATAAATTGGTGTAGTAAAAAATGCTCAATTTGTATTTTGTTGGAGCAGTACATCTATTATGGAAGCTTTTTGTTCACTTTAACTAATCATCTGTGGTGCCTGAGAATAAGTGATGCGAAGTTCGGATCATTTTACCGACTCGGACCTTTGAGTCTCGTTCAGCAAGTGTTACTTCCCTAACACGTCTACTACTTACGCAAACGTTGATCACACTACAAACAATACAAAACTGCTATAAGAAACAGAAAAGATGAATTCATTGTTTAGCTGGGTCTTCAGTCTATGATTAGCTCACCACCTCTTATCTCTCGAGTCTTCGGGTTTGAGTCGTTCGTTCATCACGTGACAGCCACATACGCTTTAACCAATGCAGTCTGAGCCGGAAAGAGAATTGATTCGTTCATCTCTCGAGTCTTTCGAATCGTTCGTTCTGAACGACTCAAACCCGAAGACTCGGAAACAGGTGAACTACTTGACTAAACCCAGTACAGAACCTATAGGATGCTGCGCATGCGCGACTGAACGAATCACTCCCCGAGACGACTCGTTCCTCCCGAGTCACATTAAAGATTCGTTCAAGAACGACCCAACACTACAGAAACAACCGCAAAATGGGCTCATGGTGCAATGTGGAAAATCGGAAAGTACTAAAAATGTGGGGTTTGTTAAAGCAGTATGTCTATTATGTCGGTTTTAAAGTGGCGTCTATGTTGGCCGAGAAACAGCACTGTGAATTGTGCTGATGCCGCAGTATGGCTGTTTGCATTGTCCTGTATGACAAGATCAAAGCCAATTAGAAGAAAATTGAGAAGTGCTCAAAAGTTGGATTTTTGCCAAGTTGAAGGGCCGATTAAAAAAATTGTAATATGGAAAAGTTTTTAAAAATTTGGATTTTGTTAAGAGTTGCACCTCTAGTATAAAGGCATTTGTCCACTTTAACGCATCATTTGTGTCGGCCAGAGAAACAGCGCTGTGAAATGGGCTGATGGTGCAATATGGCTGTGTGCATTGTCCCAAATGCCAAATTCAAAGGTCAATTAAACAAAACTGGTACAGTGACAATTGCTCAAAATTTGGATTCCATTAGGGCAATATCTTTAGTATCAAGGTCTTTTGTACACTTTACTGCATCATCTGTGTCGGCTGAGAAATAGCACTGTGAAATGAGCTGAAGGTGCAATATGGTGCAATGTGAATTGTCCCACATGCCAAGTGCAAAGGCTGATTACAAGAAATTGGAAAATTGAAAAGTGCTCAAAATTTGGATTTTATACTTCTAGTATAAAGATCTTTTGTCCACATTAAAGCACTAAAAATGTGGGGTTTGTTAAAGCAGTATGTCTATTATGTCGGTTTTAAAGTGGCGTCTATGTTGGCCGAGAAACAGCACTGTGAATTGTGCTGATGCCGCAGTATGGCTGTTTGCATTGTCCTGTATGACAAGATCAAAGCCAATTAGAAGAAAATTGAGAAGTGCTCAAAAGTTGGATTTTGTTAGAGCGGTACCTGTAGTATAAAGATCTTTTGTCCACTTTAAAGCATGCTCTTTTGTGGATGAGAAACAGCGCTGTGAAATGGTCTGATGGTACAATATGGCTGTGTGCATTGTCCCAAATGCCAAATTCAAAGGTCAATTAAACAAAACTGGTACAGTGACAATTGCTCAAAATTTGGATTCCATTAGGGCAATATCTTTAGTATCAAGGTCTTTTGTGCACTTTACTGCATCATCTGTGCTGGCCGCGAAACAGCGCAGTGAAATGAGCTGAAGGTGCAATATGGTGCAATGTGAATTGTCCCGAATGCCAAGTTGAAGGGCCGATTAAAAAAATTGTAATATG